GAGAAAGCAGCAAGAAGAGACCACATGCACAAACAAACAACAGCAACTCGCAAGACAGGCAACAGCTTTTGCGAGTAGGTGGTAGTAGTAGGCACATGTAGTAGTGCCACTCAGCAGTGACCAGCCGTTAATACAAGCTACAGCTCTACTACTAAAAAGAGCAACCATCCGTAATATACACCATGGCCTCCCGACTCCCCGCTGCATCCTCCATCCCCTTACGGACCCCGGAAGAGGAGGTGGAAGTCCCAGTTCCAGAGAGTCACAGCAGCGTCAGCAACCTGAAGAAGTCGACGAGTTTAGGCGAGCTGAAGAGGGAGAGTAGTACCGGCAGTGGGAGCCAGAACAGTGGAGACGACGACAACTATCCTCAAAAGCAGCAAAACGCAAGAAGAAAGGGCTTATTTCCCCGGGCCCCGGCCGCAGCAGCAGCAGCTCCCCCAGCGGCGGCAGCTGGAAGGGTCGCCTACCGTCGAAGCAGCAGCAGCAGCAGTGGAGGCACAGCAGCGCTCGCCTCCTCCTGCAGGAGTTGCCGCGGCCCGTCTTCCTCGCGACGACAATCTCTACGCGAGTCTTGTGCGCTATCAAGAAGAGAACGACGACAATACGACAGTGTCCATGCCGAGCGATGCTTTGCGTAGCGTCTCGACGGGTTGGTATTCGGTTCAGTCCGATGACGACCGCAAAATCCCAGCCAGACCCACAGGCGGGACATACGAAGGCACGTATCGAGAGCCCATTAGGCGTCCCTATCGTCCTGCGAATAAGAATGGACAGCATAGCAACGGCAACAGCCCCATGAATAGCGACAGCAGTCGCAACGACAATACCAGCAACAGCAATAGTTCTTCCGACGCCGACAGGCAACGACGATGACACACAACGACGACAACAACAACGCTCCTCCTCCACCCGCCGCTGCTGCCAGAGCTGCCAGCATGAGCTCTGTGGGTCGAGCTTCCAATTCGCAGTCCTCCAATAGCTCGGGCTACACCACTCCGAGTCCTGGGAATCCTCATTTCCGGCGAGCCAGTAGTACCAGTAGTGGAGGATCCTTTCGAGGCGGATTGTTCCCACCGCCCACGTATCCTGCGACGCGACGAACTAGCAGCGGCAGTCGAACTCCCCCGCCTCCATCGGCATCGACACGAGCGGCGTCGGCGGGGCTTCCCACCGTGGTCCATCATGACGACATGGACGACCAAACGGCACTTTCCAGTATCGTAGCTTCCACAACCGAAGAAGGATTCGCCCCCTTTTCCCGTTTCCCATTGGGTGTTTTAGAAGAAGCCGATAATACCGGCATGAACATGGCCACGGGCCACAACAACAGTGAATTTGCCTGTCTCAGTGCCGCCGCTCAATTGGCGCAAGAATCCAACATGGGAAATATGATCGAGACGACTCGTAGTGCTCCCAATCCATACGAGTCGGGTGCTGGTGGAACAGGCATGCACGTTCCCCCAAGCCGTGGTGATCCCAACAGCAACTGGGATGATATGGAAATTGCCTTTCAAAATCTCATGTCGCCGTCCTCTCAATTGGCCTTGGAAATTCATCAGTTACAGCCAAAACCGAACGGCGGCAACCGAATGGATCATTCTGCCACCACACCCTGCGAACAACCACCCTGTCGAACGAGAGCGGCTGGAGACAATGTGAATTTTGAGCCCATCAGTCATCAGTGCCCGCCCCCTCCGCCGATGAATGACTACACACGGATGCAGCAGACACTAGGAATGACGGACCTGCCAGCCCCACCGGGATCAACCAGTGCTACTCAAAGCGTTGCTAGCATTGGTGGCATGTCTCAACAGAGCGCTAGCCAAGCATCTTCGAGTGCGGCTCCCCCCCGAAGCACCCTGTCCATGCCATCGTCGAGTAGTACAGACCAAGGACCTGCCTGCTCCCCCACCAAAAATACTAACAATACAAAGCTCCCTGCATCATCCAGCAGCACCAACAATGGTGACCCTACAGCCGAAGAACAGTATCAAATATGGAAACAAATCCAAGAGGAACTAGAACGAAAAGAAATGGAACTGGCGCTTCAATTGTCGACTGCGAACGACGGAAGTAATAACAACAATGCAGGCAACGGTACTGCTAGCGGTGGTACCAGTGGTGGCGGCGGTGGTGGCTCTGCCTCCTACCCCTGTCAGAATCCCAAGCCTCCGACAGCAGAATCGGGCAGTGGCGGCGGTGCCAACGGAGAAGAGGAAATTGACGAAGAGGAAGCTCTCAAGGTTGCTCTCAGAATTTCGGAGGAAGAAGCAAATGCCGCCACGAATAATGACAATGACAACGAAGAAGACGAAATCGCTCGGGCATTGCGATTATCGGAAGAACAGGCAGAAGAAGATCGGAGACGATTGCAGCAACTACAAGAACAAGCGGGAGAAATGTCAGAAGAAGAACAACTGCGACTTGCCATCGAACAATCGATGCAGCAAGACGCCCAATCCTCGGCGACCCCAGGATCGTTCCGCCAGGAAGACCAAAACGATGATGGCGGTGTAGACGAGGAGATGAGACGTGCTCTGGCGGAATCATTACAGCAACCTCACCAGCAGAACCAGTCGCTGCCGCAGCATGTGGAGAACGAAATAGAGTCTACGAACGTTGGTGATGATGATGGTATGGACGAAGACATGAGACTGGCCCTGCGATTGTCACAACAAATGGAAGAAGAGGAACGCCGCCTTCGTGACGGCTTTGCTCCTCAAGAACCGCAAATACCGCCGGAACATTTGTCGGATGGCAGAGCGGATAGCTTCCGAGATCACATGCAAGCGTTTCCTGGTCATGAAATGTCGTCGTCTCGTGCCCCTGCATCGATGGACGACTCTGGAACCATGCCTCCAATACGACCAACTCAAGCACCGACCTCTCCTGGTCTGAACCAACCAATGCGAAACCAACAACAGGCGGACAGGCCGGTCAGCCGTTGGAAGAACAGACTGATGGGCGGCAGCAATCACGATAATGACCACCCAATGGACCCCTTGGATATCCCTGATTCCATTCCACCGCATCATCCGTCAAGAGAAGACATACAAGAGCTGTCTCTTTCGCAGCATCAGAAGCAAAACGCGTACTTGCAGAATTACAAGGCGACACAAGGTGGGGGAAGAGTCCATGCCCCAGATGATGGTAACGACATGCCACCAGTGAGCCGACCACAAAGACGCGGCCAGCAGCAACATTGGCCCCCTAGTGACCCTGGAGGTTGAACGTTGTGTGATATTGGACAAGGAATCTCCCTGATGTGATGGGTCCGAGAGGGGCAATGCTGAAAACACGTTGCTGCCTATCATGCAGGGACATCTCAAATCGTGACAATGCCGTGGTTGCCTCGGAAAACTGCACGCTCCCATGAATTGCGCTCTGGTATTCTGTCCCACCTGCAACACCGTGAGCCCGCTGGATGATTCTCATTACGGCTAGCTTCATTATTTGAACAGGTTTCTCACAAGATAGTGGGTCTTACTTTTGATTGCCGGTGTGATGCGCTGGTGGTGTCCGAGAGGCCAGTGTGGGGGTTTTATTGCATAGCATTGCACGAGGGGTTGACGACTGTCAGATGGTGATGGCTGAGTGCTTATTTCACGTTCAATCAAGAACGATTGGCGAGTCTAACAAATAGAGAGCAATTACTGTCTACTAGTGGCTTTGATTAATTAAAAGGACGATTTCGGTGTCTCCACGAGATAGAGAACAGCAGAATTCGTCATAGAAATCAAGGACATGCGTGCGGTTCATGGTGCTGGGTACAAACCGTTGGCAACACACAATGTGTCTTTTGGAGGGGAGATGCTCTCCTGTCCCTCACTAATTAACAGCTACCAGTACTAGTACCAGGTATTGTGCAGCTAGCTAGAAGTAGCAATTGTCTGATCGATTCGATTCTATCTCTTTGCAATTCCTAATCATCTTTATTCCGATCTTTTTTCGGCACTGCAGATTCAAAGGACGTCCTTCTTGGAGGTGGTGGCAATATCCCAAATTTTCCCAATATCCAAGCCACTCTGTCAGATGGTTGAGCGCCCACAGCAATCCAGTACTTGAGGCGATCTGTCTTGAGTCGAATTTCCTTCATTCCATGCCGGTTTGCAATAGGATTGTATGTGCCAACAATCTCCAGGAATCGACCATCTCGAGGGGCCTTGGAGTGAGCCGCCACCATTCGATAAAAGGGAGCATGTGTACGCCCGAAGCGTTGCAATCGCAGGCGAACTACCATTCTTTCAGTTCTTTCACTTCAAGGTTTGACACAGAGAGAGGGTCAGATCACAAGAGGCAGGCAGTGTGTGGGATGCCTTTGGTCTGATGTTGGGTGCTATGCGGGGTGCTGTGGTCTCTTGGCAATGTATGTACATGTATGTGTGGTGGTGTCCAGCGAAGTTTATGGCAGTATCGGTAGGACGCACGCTTGCCCCTCAAGGAAAGATTCCCAGGAGCTGTTCTTCGGCCACACCAGAACGGTACTAGTAGCGGTACTAGCTAGTACAGCTGTACCGGTGGCCAGTACCCGGAGCCCCAACAGCTGAGACAGACCCAAACACCAAAACCATACCTTACCGAAAATTGATTTCAAACCATGAAGCAACCCTCAATGACCTTGTCCCTTCTTCTTCTTCTTTTGATGGCTGTTGGCACTAGCTAGTGCCGCACTGAAGAATGGAGAATGCACTGAAGATTTCTGCGCTTGCCAGATTTCATATCCTGTCAGCGGTGCTGAGCGATCGTGCCCGGTAGATGACATTGACTTGAGGAAGTCAAACTTTTCTTCCAGTTGACCCACTTTCTTCGACGCACCCCACTCCGCAAACAAATCCCTTTTCATTCGATAGCGACCATCTCTTCGTTTCCCATCCCAAAAAGATAAAGAGCAAATCAATCATTTGCTAGCTATCAGACCTCTGCGACCTGCCAAAAGGGTTGCAGCCTTTTAGTGCTTTAGTGCCACTCGTTCCTTTCCCAGCAGTGCTCTCCGCTCAGCATCATGGAGCGCATCATGCACCCCAAAGTTGGGGTTCCCCTTGCTCATCCATGATTTCAGACGCTTGGGGAACTTCTGTGCAAGTTGCTGATACTTTGGCTACCGGCGGTGTTTGCGCTGATGTCGCCGGGCCTTGCAAAGCACGACAATGCACCTACAAAAAGGACCTCAACACAACTACTCTGACCAGCAAGAAGACGACTATTCCACTTTTCGCCCCCTGCCATTGCCAGGTTGGCTGCCTTCTCGTAATCTGCAAAGTAGCAAGCATCGTACATTTGGATTTGACGCAAGTTGGCTTCTACAGCAACTTCTTTCTTCTCATGGATACTCTTGAGCTCTTCTATTTCATTGTAGGCCACCCCAACCAGAGTGGTGGGTGCATTCTGTTTGTGCAGATCTGCACACCAAGTTCAGGACAGCTTGCCAGCAGAGCGAAAGCAGATTTTCCGGTGTCAAAGCATGTTGCAGTCCTCCATTTGCTTCATGTGCAGCACAAATCACCGTCGAAATCAGCCAAAAGACTGCCCAGTGAATCATCCTGCATCCAGGCAGTGGTAAAGTGAGAAGCAAGCCCTGTTTAGAAAACCTTGTTTTCATTCCAATTATGTAGGCCTTTAGAAGCTTCTGTCGGCACTGCTGCAGTGGTTGCTTCTGTGCTACCTAGGTACAGTACCCTCGACGCGACGGCTCAGACTCAGGCCCGGGTCGGTTGCTCACAAGGTACCGTTCCAACTCGCACTAGCTAGTACTTCTTCAACATCGGGTTGTACGTAATCTCCCAAGCAATGGGCAAGACCAACCTCAACGTATCCGTCGCTCGGAATACCGCTACATCCACAATTCAAACCCACAAGAACTGAATGAGGACCTCCTACCGGCTTTTCCAATTCTCCCTTTTTTAAAAGAATAAAATGTTCCAATTTTCCTTACTTTTATTAAACTCTCCCCTAAATCATCAATTCTCCTTTCCTCTAACCCCTATCCTTTATTGCTCCTCTCACTAAAATTTAAAAGTTGAAAACTATTCCTTAAATTTGAAACTTCTCTCCTTGGCAAAATGACAAATCGTCGAACGGTCGAGAAGGAGTGATGTGCATACATAAGGCAGGGCGAATAAGATCGAGCGTCAAAATTCTGTCCGTCGTCCGTTTTCTGCGGGACCACCATGGCGAGAAAATCGACTTTAAAGTTAGAGACACTGTTTCGAGGCAACAACAGCTCACAAATCATCGCATTGACTTACATAATGCATCACAATGGTGACACAAGTTAACTACTTCTTAGTGGTGGCTCCTTTGGTAGCTGAACGGCCTTGCCTAGTCTTCTTTGCTTGTTTGCTATTCTCTTTTACCTTGTTCCTTCTTTCGTCTCCAGGATCTTCATTGAACCAACGTAGTTCCTTCCATTTGTCCTTGGGAACCATCGGACGCCATTTATCATAGAGTTCTTTCCACTTGATGTCTGTTATACCAGGAACTTGAATTGCCGGTGGTTTGCCCTGTAGCTGGACTGGCTCTGTCGGGATCGTTGTTCTGTATTCCTTCTTGGTAAGAAGCTGCGAGTGGACCTTTGTCGTGTCGTACAATTGGGTGTAGATGCGATGCATATCCTTGCTGCCATCCACACAAAAGACGTGGTTCTCCTTGATACTGCTGACAGTTCCCCAATATGTGTCCAGGTACTTGTCCCAATCGTAGAAGTCTTTAGCCGGATCAACTCTAATTGGAGTGACATCCTCTCGTTTCATGGCTTCAATCAGTTCAGCTGGTGTGTAGACGTTCGCCTTTCTGTACTTGAGCTTCATTAGATTGAACATGCGGTCGCAGTCATTCTTAGTATGGCCCTTGACAAGGAAGATCGCTCGAGCGACTGTTGCAATCCGTAGGTTCACCACCACCATCAGAAAACGTAGAACCATTCGATTCTTGTTCTGACCAGAGCAGTTGTCGAACACGAAGTTGATTTCCGGCACAGGCTTGTTATGAGTTGGTTCTCGACTCATGCCATCAACAGAAGATGCAAGCCCTTCCATAATAAGAAGGTTCCAGAGCATGCTGGCAACATTGTTCCCTCCCTTCTTTCCTTCACCTTCAAGATAAGTGAACGCATAGAGGTGTTGCAGAGAACAATCAACAACACCGAATACATACGCCCACAAAGGGGAATAGTAATAGATCTCACCGGGTTGTTCATCGCCAAAGTGCGGCACATCCAAATTCTGCGCGAAGTCACACACAAAAGTGTAGACTCGCTGATCCCATGGTTTGTCTGTGTCTCTAAGTGCTTCTGCCTTCTTCCTGTTGAAGAGATCCCTTTGTTTCCTTGCCATGTCCACATGGAAGTTCGCCTTGATCACGATGTCTTCATACTCAATGGCAGCTCGATATCTTTCCTCCACGGACTTGTATGGATCTAGCATTGCAATCGCCTGTTCCCAATCGTCCTCATCCTCCGACTCGGCTTCTTTTCCATACCGGCTGACATACTTGTGTTGGTTCGCGAAGATGTAGCACTCTCCACAGACATCTTCTCTTGGTCGCTGAATGTACAGTTTTGGATACTCTTTCTTCCAGAAGGAACGGAAGGTGCTCCATGCCGGAATGTTGTCAGCGGTCACAGACTGTTCTGTTCCTTCCTTCTCTGTCTTCTTCAGAATTCGTGCTTTGCTGTCCCACTTGATTGTCCAGCCAAGTTCTCCTACAAATCGGTTGTACAGTCGCCGCTTGGTCATGCAAGATGGAAGCTCCACCATTTCTGGATCGTCGTTTGCCAATTCGATTGTTGTTGATATTCCATCACAGATCTGTTGGCGGACTACCTTGGTGGCACGGGGCATTGCAAGCTCATTCATGGTGTGGAAGAACTCATGCAGCAAGTCGTTCTGCTCTGCACTTGCCCTGTTGGATGGCTTTCCCTTCAGACCATGAACTGGATCACTGTTGTTTTCTGCAAGTTTGACTGCACTCTTCCATTGTGTCCTTCCAATTCCAAGCAACTGGGCAAGACCATTCTTGCAAATGAATATGGCGGTTGATCCTGGAAGAAGATGCACCTTGTGCTGATCATCTCGACGGTACCCAAGAAGAAGTCGCGCTGTTCCTTTGCCAGACCGAATCCATTCCTTCAAAATCCTCTTCCTTTCTGCAAATCCATACTTGCAAAACAGAAGCATCCCCTTCACACATTCATTGAGGTCATCTTCATCAATCAATCCCTTCAATGAATGGAGACAGTTGCACTTCGTCGGTCTGGAAGGATTGTTCGTGACATCAAAACAAAAAGGTTGGTCCATTGCTTTCTCGATGTACTCCTTGAATCCGAGCATAACCTCTTGTTCGTCCTCTTCATACAGCCGTTTCGAGCCCTTGGCGGAGCAGTAGGCTACCAGGGGGCTTGGAGGTAGTCTATTGGTGGTGGCAACAGCGGCAGGGGCTCCTAAAGCAGGCGCCATGGTCAAATATTTGGCATCGTGGAAGCTTTTTTGTTATATAGATCTAACGAAAATCGGCTTCGGGACTGATTTCATTGGCAGTCACGAGCCGAAATGAGCCAAAAAACCGTTGCTTCGGAACGACGACGGATTTGTCGTTAGCTTAACTAAGATAAAACGATAGATTTCAAACGTCCAATCTCTATGGTATATACATCGCTGGATAGCGGAGAATCTAAATTTTTTCGCACGACACAAATGCTATTTTCGACCGGTGACTCCCACCCGACAGACGGACAGACGCTAGTGATCGATCTTAATCGCCCTGTCTTACATCTCTCGCCAGCATTGCGTGATTGATCTCCCGCATCGCTCACAATTAATTCAATTTCCCGTGTTTGGATTCCGATCTCCTCCGCATCCAACTCCAAGGTTCGAGATGTACCGAGTAAATCACTCTCATTATTCTAACATTCGAGTTTTCTCATTACCAGCCTCCCACATTTCAAAGCATCGTCATGATGATCCGTTCCAGTTCCTTTTCGTGCCTCATTGGCCTACTCCTCGTATCCGCATTGCACTACGCTGCGGCCTGCTGCACGAGCGCCGACTGTCGTTCGGGACAAACATGTTTGGGTGCCCCAGACTCCTGCACCAATCCAAATGCCCCTTTTAATGTTGGGAGATGTGGAACAGTTAGCGTGAGCAGTTGTTTCTCCAAGAATTCCATTGTGGACGTACTCGGCAAAGGACCCACTCCAATGCAGAGCCTCAAGGTGGGCGACAAGATATTGACGGGTGACAGTGGTTACGAAACAGTCTACGCGTTTGGGCACTGGGACGATGTCTCGAAAACTGATTTCTTGGAGATCGAGGCGCGCATTGAAACTGGAGCTTCCGGAGAGAGCCAAAAGACGACGTTTCTCCAAGTCACCAGGGATCATTTGCTATATGTCCACGATCGATCGTTCGTCCCTGCGATAGCAGTCAAAGTTGGTGATGTCATTGGCACTGAAAGTGCAGAACAACGTGCAATTGTGAAGACCATCCGTTCTGTCAAGGAGACCGGCCTCTATGCCCCTCTGACACCCTCTGGAACGCTGCTGGTGGACGGTCTGAAAGCGTCCTGCTATGTTTCGTTGCAAGAAGGATTACCGGAAAACTTGGAGCTCAATGGGATTCCCCTCGTGTCTCAACATTTGTTTAGCCATTGGGCATTGAGCCCAATTCGACTGCTCTGTTTGGGCGTCTCACCAAGTCTTTGTGAGAATCGAAACACTCTTGACAAGGAGAATGGATATGCTTGGTTTACGAAGCTCGGGTTTTCAATTGTGGATACCCTGGAATCATTTCACAACCGTTCTGCACTTCAGTACACTCTTGCAGTTGCATTCGCTGCCTTCTTTGGAGTCTTTCGGGGGCTTGAGATTGTGTTTGGGCCCCTCCTGGCTCCCACAGCCGTATTGGCGGCAGCTGTCCTCGGAAGATCCTTGTTCAAATCGAAAAAGTAAGACTCTCAAGCGTGCTAGCTGCTTGTAGATGGTCTGTAATTTTAAAGTAAGGTATTGTTTGCAAACCATCTCCCATCGTAGCAAGCTAGCTAGTAACCAGTCACAACATGTGCCAGTGGTTGCAAAAGACGAAGCAAGGTTTCAATGGATCCAACCAGTGTAAACACAGCCTTGCAACCTTTCAAAAGCAACCATCACTTTTCTTGCTGCGTGCTTATTACTTTTCGAAGAGCTACCAGAATAAATGGGGTTTTCAGCCATCGATTTGAGACACGAAAATACCAAATCACACCTCCAGCAAAGGAACAAGTAGTCGAAGACCATGGCATCGGCCTACCACTAAGCAGATGACACCGTTGGAAAGAGCACACTCAAGTTAGTAGGATAATACTATAGCGTCGTTGTTGTAGGCCTTGTTGCCATTGTTAACTTTGTTAGTTTAGTAGCAGCGAATCGTGAGGTTTTTCGATCGAATCACGCTGGTCCGTGTCTCAGCTCGATGTCACGGTTTGCACGGCACATTCCATGGCTGCCATTATTGTCAGAGCTAGTCAACATGTCAACGAAGAAAGCCCCCTTGTCGCAAGAGGACAAAGTGAGGGTTGCAGCCCAGATAGTGGCCGCTTCAGAAGGGCGAATGTCGGTGAAGAAAGCGATGGAATTTGCCGGCTTCCCCTCTGCACAGCTAATAGACCGATCATTGGAGAGGAAGATTCATCGAAAGGCTCAGAATGTCACTGTGACACTAGATCAAAAGAAAGTGGCGCTGAAGACACCTCCTCCACCTGCTGTGGTCAACATAGGAGGCACGGGAGGAACAGGAGTTTCTGGGCTTCGGAGGGACTCCATTGGTTCTGTTGCATCCACCTCAAATGAATCGACCATAACTCCAACCAATGGCTCCGTAGACACTGCTTATCTCTCATTGATGGTCCCATCGTTGGCTGGAACAGCCAACGAATCGAAGAATCGCCGACGCAGTTCCAAACGCAAGCAACAAGATGATGCAGAGGCAGTCCGAAAAAAAAAAGCAACCGATGCGGCTACCAAAATGGCCACCAACACGATTGCCAAAATGCTGCAGCTTCCGGAGGGCCATCCAGAGAAGAAATCACAGGCTGCTATTGTTCGCGATGTCAACGAATCAATGGGAACTACTCTGTCTGCCAAAACAATCAATGACATGGTGCGAAATGGTCGCATTGGTGAATCTCCGATGAAGAGAGGACCAGCACCAAAGATACCCAAGCCGGTCTGGCTGGCATTGTGTGGAGCCTTTGTGACGTACATGAAAATAGAGCAAGCCAACAGCAAAAAACAATCCACAATCCGAGAGATGGCTTTGCGAGTCAATGCATGTGTCAACAAGATGGGGATGAATCAAAAAGGAAACGGCCTCAGTCAAAAGATCAGAAAGGATACCGCAGATCAGCTTGAAGTCGGTGGTGAGAACGTCCAAGAGCAACGTCGTCTTCAGTGGACTTGCTATGCAAACCTTGACGCTTGGTTTAGTCAGTTCAAAGAGTCCATGATTCATCTTGGCTTTGCACGCGAAAAGACTGAAGAAGACGGTGATGAAGTGGTTGGAGAACTGGTCTTCTTACCTGGACAGCTCCGTCGTATTATCAACTTTGATGAAACTGATGGGTCAATGGATAACACCAATGGCCAACGGGGTGGTCGTCCGCCTGTGGTATTCTATGCACCGGATGTGAGAGGTGGAGGGAGACAAGCCAACAAAAGCTCTTATTCTCCCACTATCATTTGTGGATCTTCTGCTGCCGGAGAACCCATTCCTCCTCACTTCCAACTGAAAACATCTGCAACCGATGCCTCACGAGAGAAGATGAACCTCAACTTCTTTACTCACGTGCATGACATTCGGTGCCAGTTCGGCCATGATGCCATAACCGACATGCCTGTGACGTACGGCATGAATGAAAAGGCTGGCATGAACGCGGTGGAACTGGACAAATACTTTTCCATAGGAATTCTTCCTCTCTTTCCAGATATAGAAGATAAACCAGGGAAACGGGTTGCTGTGAAGGTTGACAGTGGTCCTGGACGTTTGAATGTTGAGATGCTGGCTAACTTGAGACTCAAAGGATGCTATATATTTCCTGGTGTCCCCAACACAACTGCAGTGACCCAAGAGACGGATCAGAATTATGGTCCTTTCAAGACTTCTTATCGAGGCAATCTATTCACTCTTTCTCAAGCTCGCTTTGACAAGAAGATGACAATGTCAATCAATGACTTGCCCCTTCTATGTTTCGGCGGAACAGATCCTGGAACGGGTGCGATTCTAGAGAACGCATTTCAGAAAGGCTTCAACGTTGCGGCAAACGAGGCTGCTTGGAAGAAGTGTGGAGCGGTTCCTTTGACTCGAGAGCCTTTGCAGCATCCACGTGTTCGGCATGAGGTTGTGGTGAACGAAGATGGCACTGTCAATACAGAGATGGATCCGGAAGCAGAGCACTTGCTAGAGATTGAAGCCGCAAACAAGATGCATTGCAATTTTCTCACAATGTTAGGTTTTGATGGCGAACGTTTGCTTCTCAAAGTGCAACGCAGAAAAGCAGAACGCTACAACATCACCAAGGCCAACACCCGTGAACGGCAGGATGCTATTGCCAAAGCAACCACATCCGGTCAGCTCTTCTACAATACTCAAGGGCAACACTTCACATCCAATGACTTCTTCCGAGCTCAAGCATTGAAGCAAAAGAAAGAAGACATTGACAAGCTAGAGAAAAAGAAGAAGATTGCACTTGCGAAATTGGCAATCAAAGAGCAGCGCGATTCTATTATCGAAGAAAAGGGCGAGCCTACAGAGGCAACAATCAATGCGTTCAACGCAAAGGAAATGGGGATTCTCTATAAATACAAGAAGGGAAGCAATCCGAAAGGTAAGAAAGCAGAGGTCTTGTTGGCGTATCTAGCCGCACCAGCTCCAGAGGAAATCGATGTGTGGTCTGCTGAAGAAGAGGCCGAGCTCGAACGTTTGAAAACAGAGGAGATCCCCATGGCCGACACTCAAGTAGCGGTGGCAGCAACACAACAAGCAAACGCGGTGGAAAACAACCTTGAGTTGCTATCAGAGGACCAGCGACGCAGTCTCTTGGGAGCTATCCAACGATCATTTGATGTGGCAGAACTCGATTCTGATTCAGAGCTTGAGGATGTCGGTCAACAAGCACCAGTTTGAATAGCAATAATAGTATCAGTCTACGATTGAATGACGTCTTCTTCAGATTTGGATCGCACCGGTATCGCACTGGTTTTTGAAGATCTATTTTTGAGACATGCAAAAAACCCAGTTTGGGTTTCCAGCCGCGTTCGCATTGGTTCGCGTAGCTTTTCGGTACATTGCTACGGTCTCACTGAAAACCCCATTTATTCTGGTACCTGGTACTCGTACCGGTAGCTAGTCTAGCTCCAAGGAATGAATGATTGAATCGAAGTCTGTTTTTGAAGGCTTTACCTTTTACCTGAATGATTCCAACCAAAATGCGCCATGAATCTCCCCGAAATTATAATGGAGCGGGTCAAAGTCGGCCTTGAACTTAAAAACATTGTCAAACATGATCTCCCTCTAGATACATGGTGGGAACCAGCCAACGAGGAAAACCCACGGTTGGCCTACGAGCGCTTTCTGGATACGACGAGACTGGCCGTAGAACTTGCATATACCACTGAAGGTGATGCAATCGGCTTATATGCTGCCAAAGCGAACGACGACTCGAGGTTGGCATTCAAGTTTCTGGTTGATTTCTTGCAACAAGCCAAGCGACAAAGGCGAATGCCCAGATGGTGGACTCCACAGCACGATGTTTGCCTTTTTCGACTGGCATTCGACGAAAAGGGAGACTTTTACTTGTATCATGCAGTGGAAGTTTCGGATGTTCGGAAAACTTGGGGTTACAGAACCACAAAGCTCCTCCTGGCCCTGGCAACTACAATTGATGGCGAAGATGGAGTGCCGGAAGGTCGTTTCGATGACATGCTGAGAATTGCTTGTGATCTTTATCTGGATGAAACACCACAACGTGAAAAAGGCTACGAAAACGGAGAAGGAATTCCTTGTCGCTGGGGAGTAAAATGCAAGAGACCAGACTGCTGGTTTCAGCACCCCAAGCTTGTCTTGGGAGAGGAAACCAAGAGGAGTGACCAGCCACAATATTCAACTACCAATATGAAAGATCACATGCTGGAACTAGTCGGCGATGAATTAGAGCTTGAGACTCTGTATCTTTTATATCACCAATCTTTGGGTATCGGTGAAAGTATTTTCTACCATGTCAGTCCTGCAGAGCAAGCAGAAACACAAAGGAAACTAAAAGAATCTGCCAGCAAAGGCGATTCCTTTGCCATGTATTTGCTTGGGAAAATCTGGAAGGAACTGAAAGTCCCCATGTTTGGGAAGCAAAAATCTGCCAAATCGCGGCATTCCGAGGCCTGCAAACTGTGGACCGCATCCGCTTTGGCGGGGAACGCCTACGCCATGACTGGTCTCGCACTGCTACACCGAGATGCAGGGCACATGCCCACAGCAGTTCACTGGTGGCAACGTGCTCTAGAACACGCCGAATTCCCCGAGGCGGCATACGATCTTGGAGTGGCATATGGCCTAAACGAGACAGTGGGAGCAGATGCCGTCCCCAACAAGCAGCCATGTTCTACGCCATTGTCGCGGATATGGAGTTACAGGACATGGAAGTTGACTTGTCGAGTCCAGATGACAAGCATGTCCGTCTTGGGCTCAAGATTCTACATGAAAGTCCATCCAACAATGAACAACTAGGGTTTCAGAAGTTGGCCAAGGCAAATATTCGCACAATGGAACGATTCTTGGGGAACCCCAGTGCAGCACCACTGGAGAACAACAAGGAGCTGCCTCCATTTGTGGAGGATGAGCAGACTCTCAATCAATGCCTCCTGTGTCAAAGGCGCAGTCGTGTGGGAGAAGAGAATATGATGATTTGCACCAAATGTGACAGTGCGCCCTACTGCAATTCCATCTGCCAACTTGGACACTGGGCAGCTCACAAGCCAGAGTGTAGGACAGCTAGCTACTAGCTGAGGGCATAAAGATAAAGAAAAGGTGCAAAAACCTGAGGAAAGGAAACGTCCAGCTCACGCCTGCTGTGTTTCGCTATGTTTTGCAATTGATCCTACAAGTGAGGCTGGATGAACTATTGCTACATTGCGAGACTTTGTCCCCTGGCACATACAAGAGCATGCAGACATTACAGTAAACTAGTGTTAACAGTTGTAGATTCAGGGAGTGCCAAGTATACAATGTAAAAGTGTGGGAACCATCCTCCAAATGCTAACAAATCAAAATCAAGCCCACGCATCATCCATATCGCAGATGATTGCACTCTGAGAAAGTAACTCTGAGTTTTCATCTGCGGATGTCTCACTGTAGTCGCACAGCATGGCCACCACCGTCGTAAATCCATGCAGAAACGTGTTGGATGTAGATTGTTGTTCGCCAGCTTGCTCGGCATCTTTGGCTGCCATTTCGGCGGATCGAATCCCCACGGGACCAACCTCTCCATTGGCAAAGAACCCCGCCACACAAGGATCTTGATCATCAAACAATTCTTGAATCTTTTGCAAATCCATGTTGGGAGCACCAAAGAAGGAACGCCCTCGAGCCACGCAGGAGAATTGAAAAGCCGCCAATGGCTTGCCCGATTTTCCTGCATTACCAGCAAAGAGTCGCTCTGTTTTGGCCCGTTGTACCATGAGACCCATGTCTTCCCTTGCGCTCTTGGCGGCACGAACATGAAACCGAAATGTACTTCCCTCCTTCAATCCACCGGCAGCAACGACAACAGAGCCACTCTTGGGTTGAAATCCCATAATTTGCCGGATCAAAAAGTCATCCTCGATGCGCAACATCTTTTCTCCTTCCTCTTGCTCGTCGTGCTCACCAATCTGCAGGAGGGTATCGTCCACATCATTGTCCATACATTCCATAATATTGCTACTGGATCCAATACCACAAACGATCTCTCCATTGCGGATCAGTTCTTGATCTTGTTTGTTGGCATTGGCGGCGACTTCTTCCAAACGCGTAATGGCACTTTCTCCCGACAAACCAGTCAGAATCGTCCCGGATGCCTTGGTAATGACATAGGTGGGTCCTACCGGCCGACATCCTTGTGCCACTACTGCCATGAGGCCGACATTTCCCGTGAATTCGACTCCTACGAAGGACCCTGCCGGCAAGAGCTGTCCGTTTCGGGCAATGGATGGTACGGGTCCCTGTCGTCGACGTTGTGGTCGTGGTGGTACCGAAATACCTCCGGCAATGACGGGAGGTACTAGAGTGTTTTGTTCCAGCAGCGAGAGCAAATCGTCCAAGGGAGCAAAGGGATCGGAAAAAATCATGTACGAGGGTGGTCTGTCATTGTCGTTGTCGCCGCCTTGCAGGGATTCTTGAGTGCCAACTTGTGTTTCCATCAAGGCATCTTCCAAGCTGCTCTCCTCATCACCACTACTTTGGTATTGGAACACTGTGGCAGACGACTCGGGTGGTAATCTCCCTGCCATTAATGTCATGGCTGGCTGGTTGTTTTGATCCAATTCGGCGCCTCCACCAATGACTCCACCTCCCAAAACCGTGATGATTTCGATATTTTTGCAATGCCAAGGATCCAACTTGATTTGGAGATAAGACACGATTTTTTCCAGAACAGGAGCATGATACTGTCCCACAAAGAGGTAGACCAAATCAACACCACCGTTACTGGCAACCAATAAGCCTTGTTGGAGGAGTTGATCAATGGCCAAAATGGGATTGACTTGTTCCGATTTGCACGTGATGAAAAAGGGTGCCGAACTGCGTCCATAATGATGAGTGCTGCTCCAGAAATCCTGATCTTCTTCCACCGGTTCTTGGAGATAATACAACGGACCCATACCAGAAGAGGAAGATGTTGGACAAGACTGCTTCTGGATGGGTGGGGATGTAAACGCGGATACCAATGGCATATTTTTGGTGGGTATGCTCAGTAGTATTAACAGTAGCACTGCCACATGATTCATGATACTGGATCTTATCCAACTGGCAGCTGCTGATGTTGACACAACTGTCATGGTTGGAACCGAAACTGATAGAAATTTTCTGGAACGAGGCAGATTATTGAGATTGGTTGAATATTCAATCCAGCAGATGGATGCAATGGCCAAGACGGTGGATACTGATACCCCGACGCCACACAAAATATAAAGGTGAGAACAATAGATGCTTGGGAGAGAGAGGTGCCCACTTTAGTTTCCTTTGTGTGCAACCGACAGCTGTTGGAGGAGTCTATCGCCTTCTCAGTCTTTTTGTGTGGTGCAGATGATCCTTCTGAAACTGCTTCTCCCAATGCCATGGAAGAATCTTTGGTTCAGAATTTCGAATTCGTTGTCAACAGCTGATGGTCCTTCGCGAAGCTTCTCAAATTAAACCGTTAGAGTTAGAAGCTCAGGATTCACAGTCACGTTAGCTGTGGTTTGAGTCTGGAGAAATCGGGAATCGAATCGAATCGAATGATTCGATTCCCATCTTGAATCAAGCACAACTCCCGCGGTTCCAAAATTAGCCCCAAGGTCAAGTAGGTGCCGGTATTCCACGACCACCCCATTGCTAAGGGCTCTGCTCCTTCCACACTCGTAACCTCCTCCGAGTTCATACTGATGACCGCCTAAGGCATCGGTTGCCGGAACAACAGCCAATGCCAACAGGTGAGTTAGTTCAGCAGTGCCGCTTCTAAGCTTTCTGCGCTGGGGATGACTCTATAGACTCATCTTGCTTCGTCTAAAGCCATCTTCAACTGCCTGTCTCTCCTTGAACCCAACAAGACTTCCGGCGAAAAACTGTACTTTGAATTCTAGCTAGATCTAGTTGAATTTGAATCTATCAGGATGGTGGCCAATAAAACCTCTGCGGAAGCAACACGAGTCTTGCGCTCTCTAGCTTCAACTGTCTCCTCCTGAACCAAACAACAACGGAAGGGTAGTCCTTCAAGCTCAACTTCCCATCTATGAGAGAGCCGCAATTCCGTGTAGCTCTCTTTTTTGGTTTCAGGGATCATCAATGAGTCGAGTCTTTGGCCCCAACGAGCAAACGAACCATCCAGCTAGCTAGCTTGCCGACTACTAGCTAGATAGTCAAGTATATTTGGAAGGGATAATACAGAAAGTCTATGAGTTATGAGTTGCTTCGGTAGCATCGAATAGCAGAGCAGAGCAGTTTGTTTGGCGTAACAGGTAGTAGTTTAGGCACACAGAGCAGCACCCGAATTGGAGCGTTGTACCCCTCGCACCAAAGGAACGGGTGATGTTGCTCTTCTATTCGACTTTGGCCCGGCATTGCCCAATCGTCGGTTGCTTCGGTTGCGGCCCTTTGCATTGGCGGGCATCAAACGAGCCATGCGTTCTGCGAGTGCTACCGTTTCGTCCTTGCTTTTGTCTGCCTTTTCAAGAGGAGCCTGGGAGGGTTCCTTTCGAGCTGGAGTGGTGGATAGGCGATGCAGTGCCTGGGAGACATGCTCACTACGAGAGGATGACATGACCAACTGGAGTGGTGTGGAGGCGGAGCCCTCCTTGTCGCTACTCGGCAAGAGCGGAAATGGCAGGCGAAAGTGGTCCAGGTTGGCATCGAGGGCATCGTGCTTCATTTGCGAAAGAGGCAGTCGAGGGCACATGGGAGCCGCGGGGAGCATGGCCAAGCCACCAACCTTCCAGGACAAAGTATCCTTGGGGGACTGGAAAGCGGATTCACTGTTCAGGCACATCATGGTTGTTGTGGTAGGTGGGACGTAGTTGGAAGAGGTAGAAATGGTTCTTGTAAACAAACAAAATGAACAACTTCCCAAATTATGAGATGTTGTTGTGGGATTTTTGGAAATGTGAGCTCCCATTCGAGAAGCGACGTATTACCTCAATGGTACGCGGGTGTACCATTGTTGAGTACCGTACTGGGTCTACGAGACCGCATGCACCACGAGACAAAAAGCTCTCTTGGGGTGTCAAGAGCTTTGGCGGAGATGCGAAGTTTCTGTAGAAACAGTACTAGCGGCTACGTATTCTGCAAAGAGTCAGCGTTGGACAGAAACTTGAATCTCGAAATCCGCTTTGATCGTGAAAATGTCAAGAGTCATTCTAGAGAAAGAAGCAATAAGAACTCTTTCCTGAGTCAGACATTGACCATCTAACACAAATTGGAGATATAAGGGATAAATGGAACCTAAAGACCTTCTTTATCAATGATAAAGCCTAATGGTATTATTGCTTTCAGAAATAAGTCATTCTGGGTGCCTCAACTTGTTAATCTCACTGGACACAGGGCTAAATTAGACTACGGATGCTCAGAACTCCATTAAGTGAGTTACGCCCTCTCAGAGCTTCAATGGGACCAGCTGAACCGGCACACAGCCACAAAAGCCTCCCTTTAAACCATCATGGCACCTATGAAGGTGTGCAAAGTGCAAAGTGCAAAGTAGAGGACAAAACGCCAAAAACGCTGTTAATGTACCGGTATGTGTATACACAAACACGCAAAATAAACCCAAACGCTTGGGGCTAGTGTAGCGTTTAAAACACAACTGGTACGCAAAACGCTAAAACGCGGGTGTCGATGTGTCGATAAGAGCTCGATAAGCCTCCAACAAAAACCAAGCCTGACTTGACTCGGATGTGGACAAGTACCGTACCGGTAAGTGGACAATACCGGTACACCGGCATTAATACAATGAGCAGCTCAAGTCAGAGCTCTTCATACTCGGGACTCGGGCTGTGTGGGGGCAGCTCTCATCAGAGGTTCTTGCTTGCTGCTACTACCTACAGTAGCTAGCTAGCAGCCAGTCTCTACTACTAGTCTACTAGCTAGTAGCCAGGGCCTGAACGCTTCCCAGGACCTGTGAAGCTCCCACTTCCCACTGTCCGATGCTCAGAGCTCGCTCGGAGCAGGGGCCCGCGAAGAGAGATTGTTGGATTCAGGCCGGGCAATCGAGTCTGCGTCCAGACAGGTAGCAATATGCAGCCTTAATAGCTACCGGTACGTGGTGGAGTAGACACTCAATAAATAAAGGAACGCTGCGCTTGGCATGCAGCCTCCCAGTCTCACTGATGAGCTTCTGCCCGAGCAACCTAGTAGCCCGTATTCGAGCCCTGCTATTTTACTGTACAAGAAGAAAACAGAATCGCTGGTTGCCAGCCAGGAAAGCATGTTGTTGAGGAGATCAAGTTGCATGCTCCCAACTTCAATAGAAGGTCATTGCTTGAGGTGCCCGTTCATAGTTCCAGCCACCGCTAGGTTTAATCACCTGGAGACCAGGAGGGTGTAGTTCGTTGCTCAAGGGGTCACCTCAAACCTCAAACCACAATGAATGAACAAGGAGGATGGGGCAACATGGGTCCTGGGTCCAAGTCTGGGGAAGGAATGGCTGAAATCCAGTCCAAGCTGTTGGATGTCAAGATTTGCAAAGGATTGAAAGTGCCCAAGCATGGCAAGCGCAGAGTGCCAGAAGGTGCCCACCAAGAGGTGGTGCAACCTAACAGCCTATAGCTGTTGCTGGATAGTTTGAACCTTGGTGGCAAGAATGGCGGCAAGGCCATCATCACCTTCTTGCTTGCAACCAAGAGAGCGCCGCTTTGAGATTTGAAAATCTTATCCCTGTGGTGATACCATATAGCTTGTGGTAACAGTAGAGCCGGTGCCTCAGACTGATGCAGCCTTTCCAACCCCTGCATCGAAGCTGCTACTACAACGACAGCCATGGACATCAAGTCTAGTGGTATCACTGACGCACATTGCTTGTTTCACGCATTCTCTTTCGACAATAGGGCAGATTGTCGTTCGTTAGCAGACCACCGGTTTCGCAAATTCCAGGTATCCAAAGCCCCACTTTCGACCAGATGAAGCACAGTGAAGCAGCTCCCTCTCAACTCTCAACAAGGCTCTCTTTGAGAACGCGGTAGCTAGAGTCATGCTCGGGTCTGGTATTCTCGCATAGCTTCGAGCCATGGCCCGGTGCAAGAGGCAAGAGGACCTCATATCATCATACTTCAAAACAAGTAGATCAAAGAAAAGCAAAATTTTATTCTGGAGGTTACGCATCTAGAGTAGTAGGACTTCTTGATCCCATACCAGCAATGCCATTGTTCATTCCGATGGAACAAAAGGCCCCAGCCGACTTGGAAGAGCCAGGAGACAACTCAACAGAGACTGTGCTATTGGAGCCTCGCCGCATGGAATCTTTCAATTCGTCGCCAAAGGATTGTCCTCTTTGCCCAGTACCCGGATTCGTTTCGCAGTGTGAGTCCCTGCTTGGCTTGCCTCTCGTTCTCGATTGAAAATGTCCAGTTTGGTACTTCCCTGACCTGCCATTTTTAGAAGCAAGTCGTCAAACATTCGCTTTCGTTTGCTGGCTCTCACTTTTGGCTTCAGAAACGCTTGTGGGTACGAGAAGCAGGATGAGTCGAAGTTGGTGGAGCCTTCGTCGGTTATGATCTCAGGAATCCATAGTAGTTGAAGATCATTCGTTGGAAGACTTTCAAAGGAGACATTCGTCTTCACTATGGGCGGGCGCGGCATGGCATTGGCCTCGGTGGCAGCGGAAGGAGTAAACATATGGAGATCAGACGAAGCAGTGCACGCCATTTTGATTTGTTTGCTAATGTGGTAGTGGTGTGAATTGTTGAATTCTGTGATTTTGTGAGCGAAACCAGTTTTCCGCTGCTGGTGAGTGGAGGTGGCACGAAACAGAGGCACAGGCATTGAACAATTCACAAGCAAGAAAGGCCTTCTTCTAGATCTGGGTGTGTTTCTACTGTGCCGGTACGACGGGATGGCCAGCAGCAATAATAAGACCTGGACACACTTCGTCTTCTGGCCACTGGCCACCGAGCTTGGGTATTATGCTTCTGTTTGAGGAACTCTGATTAGCTATTTAGGTCTATTTCACTGTGGCAGTACAGTACATGTATTGCACTGATTTGATCGAGCTGGGCAGTAGGTCAAGTTATTAATAGACTGCAGTGATAATGCGCCAACCGCAAAAGGTTGAGGCTTCGGACTGGTCCAAGAACGGTCCCACTTGGCCGCTACATGTAGCTGGTTACTGGCTACGCTGTACTAGCTAGTGGGTCGCTAGCTGGCTACTAGCTAGCTAGCTAGGTAGTGCAGCAGTAGAGTAGGATATTTCTAGCTAACACCAGCCACACTCTTTGAAGCAAGAAACTATGAGCCCGTTGCTGGCTGCCTTCCTCCAGTAGTTGCCTGCCAGCCCTGACCGGATGTTTCAGTTTGCATGTCTGCTACTGGACGGCGCTTCGGAAACTGCAGCTTTCGACTTGGGGAGTACTGTACCAGTAATTACAATCCTGAGGTCGGAAAAACTAATCCGAATCGAATCCACATACTCCTTTGAAGGCTGTTGTTTGTTATTTCAAAATAGTGTACTAGCTAGCTAGCTAGCTACTACAGTGTTTTGGGTTCAGGGAACTTGCCTGGGAAGCTGGCTCGTCGAGGGCCTTCATTTTAGTTGGTGGTACTCGTACCTGGTACCAGCACCATGGTGCCTGTCCAGGAGACAGTACCAGGTACAGTGTAGTGTACTACATCGTAAAACGGCACTGTAATGGTACAATGGTGCCAAGGCACCACCAATCCGAAACCTGTGTATGTACCTTACGGTACGGTCTGGCAGCCTGTATGTACTGTACTTTTACGGTACACCAGAGTCACCAGAGCTGTAGTTGGCACATGTCCAGCAAGCAAGTATGAAAAAGCGAAAAAGGGTGCTCCAGAATACATAATCTTTTACATTGCCAGATCTAAGAAACACCACTCCACCGCGCCACTGTTTGCTGGAGCATCCTTGCTTGCATGGCGGCCTATGAACTACAGTGACTGATACCGGTACAGCGGGATCGCCTGTGCTTTTCACATCGATTGTAAGTCTACTCGTTTACGGTAGTACCCTGGGACATCTCGATTATTGTCCTGAGCCGCAGCTCCTTTGTCTACGGTAAACATTCCAGGGTCAAGGCAGAGCGCTCAGCTCTACCGGTATCCAGCACCAGCCATCTCTCACTTTTTTAGCTGCTCACAAAGAAGCCATATCCGAAAAGCAAAAACGTTGAAAGCTACTACAATTGCGAGAGAAACGACGATGTGCTCTGCTACGAACCTTCCGTCATCTTCTGATGGGTCCACGCCAAGCTCCCAGCGACCTACTCTGGGCAAAAAGGGGCCATCTAAGCGTTCTCTGCTATCCAATGCGGAGACACCTTCATCGAGGGTATCGAAGTCGAAATCGGCATCATCTCTTCGAGAACCCAAGCCCGAATCTCGAAGGGAAGCCTTGGTTGCCAACAAGAGCTCGTCTCGGCGTTCTTTGCAGAGACCAACATTGAGGAGCGCTCAATCATCCCGCACCCTCGTTGCGCGCAAAGAATCGTTGAGAGGATCATTGGTGTCCACCAGGAAGTCCTCGTCTCAGCGTTCCCTGCTACCGACATCCAATGCGGAGAGGCCGTCCTTGAAGAGCTCTCAATCGTCTCGTTCCCTCGTTGCACGCAAAGAATCGTTGAGAGGATCATTGGTGTCCACCAGGAAGTCCTCTTCTCAGCGTTCTCTGCTACCAACATCCAATACGGAGAGGCCTTCCTTGAAGAGCTCTCAATCGTCTCGTTCCCTCGTTGCACCAAAAGGATCGTTAAGGGACTCCCTAGTGGACACTAGGAGAATCTCTTCTGAACGTTCCTTGAACGCGAGGTCTGTTAGCTTGAGAGAAGTCTTGAGCAACGAAGACAATAAGAAAGAAAGCCCCAAAAAGAAGGATGATCGTGTCTATGGCCACAAAGCGCCATCTCACAAGCGCTGTCTAGGTCTGAAGCCATCGACTGGTGGCGACGGAATCTTCCTGGATGCTGGTGTTAGTGAGCAAAAGAAGAAAGTGAAGTCCAAGCGGTCGACAAAGGAACTCAAAAATCCCACGCGGTTGGCTCTAGCGTCATTTGCAGAAGGCTTTGACAAGAAAAAGAGCAAGTCGTCCGCTGGCAAGAGAGGTACCGGTAGCTCAAAAGGGAAGAGAGCTGCGCCTACAGCTTAGGCACCAGCAAAATTTGAGCGAAGCAAACTCCCCCAAACTTTGAGAGAAACGAAGGCAATCTATTCATGAGCGCTACCGGTACAGCAACAAGGTTGCTTGTGTGATAATATGCAACTGTTTAAGATAGAAACTTAGTCGTGTCATCGTGTCGTCGCATCTGCTGATGAAAATTATGAAGCGAAGTTATCCAGCAAGCAACACTGCTGGACCTGCCTGTCAACTGTGAACAGTTTACATTGCTCGCATGGGTGTTGGCGGACTCGACTCGACTCGACTCGACTTCCAGAAAAGTAAAGTACGGTACATGTACCTGTACCTGTACCGTATGGACTGTCGTCTTTAGTCTCCTCCTTGCATGGATCGTGCCAGAGAAACTGAAGTGAAGACCAGACTACTTGGTATCGGTTCAAGAATGGAACCAAAAAAGAGCTGGTGCACACAGCCTGACTGCTGCCTCTGCCTGAGAAACCAAAAGGCACTTGCTACCTACCGGTAGCGGTAGCTAGCCAGAAGAGCCGCGTCTAATGGTGGGCTAACGGTACCGGTACCGGTATGTAGACTATCCCTCCGTGATGAACGTAATTTCCTGAATTCGTAGTTAATTACTAGCTGGTAGCATTGTTGCCTTTGGAGGCACCTCTGGAATTCCGCTTGGCTTTTCGACCTCCTGCGGTGGTGATGGATCGCTCTGTCCCGTTGCAGGTATCGGTATCCGCCCTGTGCAAGAATGAAGGCAACCTCTTCTTCGTCTTCTTCTTGCCAGCAACCGCCTCTTCGAGATTCAATCTAAAGATCCCATCTTCCATATTCTCAATACACACTCTCTGTCCAATGTATCTCTTTGGTGTTGACATAGAGGAATCGAATGTAACTGAATAACCTCCCAAGCTGCTTTCGCTGAACATGCTTGAAGAGCTATTGTTCAACGAAGAGCCTCCGGTTGAACTTGTTCGGATGCCACGGTTACCTCGAAGTGAGTCTCTCGTGGATCCTGCTCCACAACATGCTTGTTCTAGGTCCAAACTCGTAGAGGAACCCTGGAATGCATCATGTCTCTCACTCGTCGACTGGCTTTTGCTGGCTTTGCCAAGATCTCGTTTTGATTTCTCGTGTTTGGAACTCGAAAAGAGCGGCATTGCGGGTGTCTTGGTTTGGTATGGTATGGTTTATTGATAGTGATTTCACTTTTCCTTCGCAATTGGTTGCTTGGCCTGCAAACAATGAGGAGCTTGCTTCTGATGCAGCCAAGGTAGGACGGACAAACCTGGCAGGTACCAATCCTCTTTGTTAGCCGATAGACCTGTAGCTCTAGTAGTAGAGCTAGCTAGCCTGTGGTGACCGGTTTTCCTCTATCTACCGTAAAGGGCCGCACCGGTACGGTGGCCGACTGTACGCACTGGCTGGTACTTAACATCTGCGAAGCACTGGGTTGACCGGTCCGTTTCCAAAGTTGGATTAAACTACTACATGTAGCTAGCTTGCTAGCCAGCTGCTGGAAGCCTTGCTTACGGTCGGTAGGGGGGTACGCATACAGCCGAGCTCGATTCCACAGTGGCCACGTCAGATATGGACGACTTTTAAGTTTTTGCATAGACTAGTTGCCGAACAATTGAAAGAAGAGGATGAGTGTTCGATTGATACCGGTGGCTGGAGCATGGGCTGGCTAAACTTAGGAAACTGGCCAACTGGTTGCAGGCAAGGGTCCAGCCGATGCCGGTAGCTAGCTAGTCTAGTACAACCTCATTATTTAATCTCTCAAGGTGGAAGCAAAGCAGTGACCAACCCACAGCAAGAACGAGCAGCACCTAACCAGAATGACTGGCTCCCCTACTAGCTAGCTAGCTAGTTGAGGAGGTCTTTGGGAGTTCCACAGGTAGAGTATTTTTATCCAGCGTGGAATAAGGCATGCCGTACCGGTGTCACCCAAATATTTTAGCTCCATGCGGAGGCCTGGCAATGGCGCTCGTCCGACTTTTTGGAGGATGCTCTCCTCTTTGATGAAGTCATCTACTAGGCCAAGGAGATACTAGTACTACTAGTACATGGGCAATGGCCAACCCCGGTGCCCACGGAAGACGGTAATCTACGAGAATGAACACCTTGTGAAAATGAAGTAAGTGCAACAAAAGAAAATGATTCATCATTCGATTCGATTCCAAGTGGACGGACTGGAGCATGTGTGCTTGGCAAAGATAAAGCTGCACGAAGAGCCCCGCAGTCAGCAGGCACCCACTCGGGCGCAGAATCCCGTGTCAGCACGAGATTCGGTATCCGCCGTTGATAACTACGGGTCTAGCTCCCGGTACTAGTAGTACAAGCAAACAATATGAAAATGGGGTTGACTAATGTTACAGTAATAAGGCTTGTTTTCCAACTCGGCACGAGTTGCGCTGAATTCTTATCGGAGGCTGTGAGGAATTCAATCCCTCTCAAGCTGCTCAAGCCGCACAACTTCGTGTGCGAACGGGGGCACTTCGCACAGGCGACAGCCTCACTCGACCAAAACTCGAGGATCGTTGTACGGTGGCGCGCTGTGACTTGGGTGAAAGGCGCTCTTCGAGCTTGGCAAAGCGAGACACAGGCCTCTGTGGACTCAGTACCCCGAGTTCCCGAGCCTTGAGGACCGACTGTGCCATGGCATCGATCGACATGCCAGGAGCCATCGACATTCCAGGAGCCACACGGCGGCGTGACGGCTTGGGCTTGGGGTTCGTCTTCTCTTGCATTCTCTTCAAACCATTTTGAAACAGTACACTGCTGCTGTTCCTTGGCTTGAGTCTCAGAGGAGCATGGGGGAGGTTGCCTTGACTTGGAAAGCCACAGGCAGACAAGCGATCGACGCATTCATTCTGTGTGTCGGCTGGTAGCAATCGACGAGACGTCAGTGGCGCGAATGGAACATCCAACATTGCGAGGCTCGCAGAGGGAAGAGGCGACAGTGGGAAAGCGGCGAGGGCCATGGTTTCGTACAGTACTGGCAAGTTGGGAAAGAAAAGTTGCCGATTGCAAACGACGAAAATCAAAATTGTGAGAGAGAAAGGTGAAGGGGACAGAAGCGAGAGAAGAAGAGGCTGGCAATAGATGAGACGGTGATGAGGCCGATTGCTTGGGCTGTTCGTGGGTGGTCGATTGTGCTTGCTTGGGGATTTGTTACTGTTGCCATAGTAGCCCGCACAGAAGGCCGTACTTGCTGCGTGCGGTTAGTAGTTATTTAGACAGTCTTGGCTTGGCATCAAGAATCGGAGGTGTCAGAAGAGGAAGCAAAAATAGAAATAAAGCCCTCTTACCGCAAGTCATTGTCCTAATCAGTTTTAAGTCGCTCTTCAAATTGTGACTTCACAATTAGGACAAATAAAGATGCCAAGGGTCACTGTATAGATCTAGTGCACCCCAACATACCAGCAAGTTCTACCGCAGAATGTCAATTTCTTCGCTCAATTTTTAGACCTCGTATAATAGTCACCTCCACGGGTCAGCATGTCAGGATCAGGAGCTATCCTGAACATCAAACATCGTGGACCACTGGCGAGGAACATGTGCGGGAGGATGTTTGTTGCCCTGTAGGTGATGCAATTCTTTACACAAACAAGAGCCGAGCTTCCAGAGGAGATGAGAGGTTTCGTTGAGCCTGAACCTGGCAGGGAAGCTGGGAGGATGTGTCACCGAAAAAAGGTGGGAGATGGTCGACTTTTGATTGTGTGCAGCGCATGAAACCAAGTCTACATACATGTTCTCGTCTTTTTTCTTTCTAGCCAGTAGTACTACTACTACCGGTCGAGTGACGAGTCAAAACAACGGCCCCGGTCAGGCGCAGCCATTTGTTTTTGTGTTTTCTTATGTTGTTAGCACCTTTATGCAGGCAGGTAAGTCTTTCCTGCCATGCATGGTGGATTCAATTAATAGATAGACTCCCCACATGCTACAAGGTAACTGGGCATCAGAACCAGCACATACGAGTTGCTATGCCAATGAAGCGAAAGGAACCGAATCTCGCCTCCATGCATGGTAGCTCGTGGTAGAGTTGATGCCCGTCTGGGCACCCGTAAGGTGACAGGGCATGGGGAGAACCGGTAGTGGCAGAGTTGTACGCACCCACGCTACGGTTCTTCCGTTGCTACCGGTATGCCCTCTTTGAAATGGTTTGCATGAAGTGCAGGTACAGGAGGGAACCGAATGATTCAATCATCTACATCGCTCAATCTCAACCCTACTTTAGCTAGTAGTATGTCTCTTTTCCTTGTACAGTACTCCGACTGTGCGAAAGAGTGCCAGTGCCATCAGTTCCGTTTCAAAAGTCTATCAGCCGAGCCAGAACGTTGCGGTCTTCGCGGAAGTCAATTGCGAACAAACCGCCTCTACTAGTACATGTAATAGACTGGCTAGACTAAGTAAGCGATGAATAGCACAACAGACTTTGAGATGATCATAAGTGACTCTATGTAAGGTATGAAATTGGATTTTCTAGGGGTTGGAACTCCCTACAACTAGCCAGCCAGCAGCCAGCTAGCAGTACTAGCTAGACTGGTACATGATGCGGAATAATGAATGTTCTGATGTAGTTGTCACCAGACCATGGCGGCGTGATTAGGCACAAACCGCATTGAAACTTCGCGAGCGCATGGTTGGCACTGCGCGTGATGGTCTGTAAGGGCTGCTTCGTGTTCGCCCTGGTGCTTGGAACTGCTTGTTGAAGGGCCCGCTGCTGCCGTACTTGAGTTGGGCCTTGGCGTCGGCTGTTCCCTTGACCATGGCGGCCATTCGCAGCGACATGAGGGAAGGACCCGAAGAGAAGGCACCACCAGCATTCTTGAGAGGACTTGTCTTGAAGACTGGAGCCGCCGCTCTGCGTGCTGGAGAACCCCGGATTGTCGGTGCTGCCTTGGCCTTTTGGGCGAGCGGAGACGCCAGCAAGGGTGCCTTGGGAGCAGCAGCAGCCGTCTTGTTGCGACCTCCCAAAAGGATACTTTCAAACGATACCCCACCCACTTGTGAACGCCCTTGTGGCTGCAACATCAGAGGTGCGGATACGCCACCAGCTTTTTGAATGTCAGGAATAGTGAGGGAATCCAAATGGGCGCGGACGCGGCGATTCAGGCTGGCAGTGGTTCTTCGCCCTCTCTTGGGTGGAACGGGAGTCACATTGTCAAATGTGGGGAGCATCGGAAGAGGACTCTGATCAAGAGAAAACATGGTCAAGTTCATTGGATTGGCTTTTACCGAAACTCTAAAAGGAAAACAGAAGATGAAAGAAGTCCCTTCTCGAAATTTATGAGATGGTTTTGTGGATGCCTTCACAGCGCTGCTTTTACCAACAGAACCAGGGATCTCTGCTTGCCTGCCTTCCCTTTGCTTGTCTTGGTCGTTGTGTTAATGTGTCATGTATGTAATTCTACAGCTGTTCTACTGACTTGTACATGAGGGCCGGCCCGCTTGCGACTCCTGGACTGAACATCGCGCAATTCTACATGTACTTCCGAAGAGCACCAGGCATCTGTGAGATGATTCTAGATTTGTCTAGAGTACGGATTCTCACATAGTGACTTCTTGTTTCAGTTCTTCGTTCTATTAATATTATTTTCCCCTCGATTTGGATGCCAATCCTGGGCTTAAATTGAAAGCGGAAGAAAAGGATCTTCACTTTGATACGCCCCTCAAAATAGCGGGACAGACAATAAATGTTCAAGTGAATACCAGCTGCTGGTAAAGTTTCTATTTAACAGGTGCTTTGAAGTGAGGCATTCCGCACGGTCAGTTTACAAAGTATGGTGACCGTTGTTAAACTGGCAGTCACGGTCATGTCACAGTTGATTAGGGCTAAGGTAAAAATAATTAGTAGGTAAGGCTAAGGCTAAGATTAAGTTTCAGACCCGCAAAATCAATCAATGATTCAAGTCACGGATATTCCACACACACCACCACGCTTGTTATGGAGGACTTGTTCGTCCTGTGTGGACTTTTGGAGAACCAACAAACTAGCTACTAGCTAGCTAGACTAGCTCGATAGCTAGGTTGCAGAGGTCTCAACCCGCAAGATCCAGTATGGTGACTTTGGCAAGGAAGAGAGTCAAGATTCGTTTTGATGCTGATCCTGCCAAAAGATCATGGCTAATCTCGACTAGTAGGCTCAATGTTGTAGGTGAAGCGACAGTGGGGGCCCGTTGCGTTGTTGTAGGTGTATCAAAAATGCAGGCAATCGTTGGCAGAGCCGCATAACGATTCCCAGGCATGTTCCAGTAGGTATTGTCGGCTTGACCTCGGGGATTGTCGGCTCTGATCCTCAAATCGAAAAAACTGCCTCTTGGGATGTTCTCACAAAATCAAAACACAAGCAATCTAAAAGCAATCAAAAACAACCAACTATTCTACCCTCCAACGCAAACATGAAGTTCACTCCCTTGTTCTCCACTCTCTTGGCCACCTCCTTTGTCCTTGGTACTTCTGCTGAAACCTTTGCTATTCGTGGAACCAATGACAATCATCGTAAGCTCGTTTCCTTTGATACCATTCTTTCCCTCTTCACCCCTGTCCTTGAAGTTGTTGTCCGTGGTGCATTGGGTGCCAGCTTGGATCCCTTGAGCCTCTCCTTGAGTGTCTCGCAAGAGATTGACTCAGTGGTCTTTAGTGAAAGTTGCACGGCTGCAGCTACAGTGACCTACAAAGTTGGTGACTTGACAGGGCTTGGTAACTTTGTCATTGACAATATGGCTGTTGTGGAGGGAAGTGCAGACATTGATGTGTCCTTGTTTCGAGGCACCACATGGGATGCTACCTTCAATGTTGAAGGTGGCTTGCCTGAAGGTCTTGAAGCCATTGTGGATGCCGAAATCACGGCGGATGCTTGCGGGGTGCCGTACCAGCAGTCTGTCTCAGGATTGTTGGATGCACTTGATGCCCGTGTCAACTTTTCAGTTGGTACCTCTGGATCCATTCCCGGCTTCTTTGGCTCTCCCTCTGTCTCGTCTACCACCTTTGCGGATGTGGATGTGACCTTGGGCTCCATTGAGACCAGCATTGACTTTGGAAATGGTGTCGAGGTGGACCTTGCCTCCAGTGGATTGGAAGGGGCAATCATTGATGCCATCATTGATGCAATTGTTGGTCCCTTTGCTGACATTCTCAATGGTGCCTTGGGTGGAGGCTTTAGCTTGTAAGTGACCCCTCCTTGTCAGATTGAAGGCATGAGCAGAAGAAAAGGAAAGATATGAACATGGAAAGATACAATAGCAACATAATCAATCAAGAGTAAACGTGTGATGAGTGAGACAAAGCTGCCAACATTCGTCCCTGTTGGCTACTAGCTAGCTGATAGCTCAAACTTTCTCTAGAGGTACACGTGTACCCGGGTATCCATTTGTCCATGCCAAAATCTTTTGCAAGGCGGGAAGCAGCGACCCGTATGGGTATTTTAGGGAGGTGGAGTAAAATACTACCATGCCCTCCCTTGCTTTTAGGAGCAACCACTGCCACTGTCTTTGTCATGCTTTCAAGTACCGGTACCTGTTTGACACCGGATGGTACAACACTGGATTTCTCCACCTTCCAGAAACTTGGAGTGAATCAGTCCCAACAAAACAATGAGATGGACGTCATCGCGACTGTTTCGCCGCCTCCCCTCCTCTCACAATCCATTCACTCAACACTGCAACAAACCAAGAGAGACACCATGATGACCAAGTTCTTCCATGCGCTGCTGTTGCTGCTATTCCAGCCTTCTCTGGTTCCTGCATTAGCATTTGGCACAGGTTCTATACTATCAACAGGTCCCGAGACTGCACCTTTGACCAGCAGCAGACGTCAGCTGTTACAGAATATCGCTGCATTGGCAGCAACGACAACGCTGGGATTCTCGCAACCATCGCTAGCTGCCGACGATGAACTAATTGAAGTCTGGTTTGGATGTGGATGCTTCTGGCATGTCCAACATGAGTTTGTGGAAGCCGAGCGCAAAATACTTGGACGCTCCGATAAGGAGTTGACTGCCCGAGCTGGATATGCTGGAGGCAAAGCTGGTGCCAAGGATGGCAAAGTGTGCTACCACAATGCCGCACAAGTCTCGGACTATGGATCGTTGGGGCATGCCGAAGTGGTTAGTTTGAAGATTCCAACGTCGTCCTTTCCAGATTTTGTGGCAGAGTACACAGCATTGTTCAACAAGGATGGATACCGGCCCGATCAGTTCCAGGATACCGGACCGGAATATCGCAACCTAGTTGGCTTTCCTGGAGGAGTCAATTCACCCCTCGCCAAGCAGCTTGTGGAGGTTTCCGCGAAGAATGGCGACAAGCTTGACTTTGCCAAGGGCAAAGGTGACGACTCAGATGCGCGGGCACTTGTCTTTGTCATGGACAGTGATGTCTTCCCCGTGTTTGTCGCAGAGCAATACCACCAGTTTCATGATGGGTTCAACTTTGGTGAGAACTACCCCAATAGCTACAACGGCTTGGCATCCACGCTTGCCAAAGAAGGATCGCTTGGAGAGTCAAAATGCCCCAATGGTTTGTTGGGCGTTGGACTACTTGGCCTTTGAGGCGGCCACAGTCAGACCACATCATGCAACAATGATCATGGCTATTGAAGATGATGCTTGCTGCACTCTGCATTCCCCAACACAGAACTACTAGAACTACTCCATCGGGCTTGATCTGTAGTGAGTGATATTTCTAGAGAGTGGGAGAATTGGTATAGCTTCTTGATGCTGATGTGGTTGCAGAGATGGCCATTGATTACGTGCAGGCGGGTACGCAGTGTAACGAGCCTCTAGCTAGCTACTAGAATACTTGAAACAACTTTCTCCTGATAGAAACATGCATGAGTAATGTAAATATTTAAAACAATAATTATACCAGTATCTGCCTAGTCCACCACCAATTCCAACCACCATGTATGTATGTTCAAGTCTTACAAGAAAGAGCCACTGCATCTCCTTACATGAGTGGATCATTGAGTTTCGCGGTGACGCTTTGACGTTTTTCGTCCGCTTTGTGATAAGCTATTATCGAAAAAGCAAAGAGTATGAAAGAAAGGACAAAGAACACCAACGTTGACGTTGGAATGCCCACTTCACCCAGCTTTTGGTGAATCAGGGTCCCATGAGACGTACGGTATCCGCCGTAACCATATGTCTTGCCCATGACTTCAAACTGCACAATGTTTCCTTGCTCATGAGCCAGCATCAAATCTCGAAAGTCAGCAGCAATCATCTCGGTCTTGGTTTTGAATTTCATGCATTGGTTGACATTGACATAGTCAGCGTCGTCGTAGCAGTCAAACGACCCATCGGTCTTGGCCGATTGGGATCCCTTGTTGTAACCCAAGTTGTAAGCCTTGCAGGGTTGGCACACTTTAAAGACATCAAAGGCATCATTCCAGTCTTCCAGGCCCTTTTGCAAGGCCGAGGCGGATTCGTAATCTCCAGCACTTTGTAGCACCTGCAGAATGTCCTTTTCACCCGTGTAATCGTGCTTGCAGCGACTGTCCGTGTACAAGCCCAGACCGATGCGTCCCTCTGGCATGGGCTTGGTGTCGTAATACAAGGCGTTTCCTTCCTCATCGGTTTGGCCAATGGACGAACAGCTGCACGGCCAGAGATACCGATCCGTGTCCATAAAGGAGTACTCATTGTCTGTCCAGAGGCACACTCCTTGATGCTTGAAGAGCTGTTCCATCCATTCATGGTAGTTTGGCTCCTTGAAGAATCCCAGTAGTTCAAAGTGAGTGTCCTTTAGATGACAATCCATTCTGGCGCAGCGGCCTGTCTTGTTGTGACAGGAATCGGCATGCCAATGCTGTGCTTTGCGATCGTAGAATTGATACTCTCCAATTCCACCTCCAGAATAGCCATGATCAACGTACTGGACAGTAAAACGGAGCGAGAAAGAAGAAGAAACAACAATGTTAGAAGTGCATGCCAAAAATAAACAAAACAAAAACACTGACTCCCTTCTGAGCACTTACACCAGCCCATAGGAGGAATCGTTGACAAGATGCTTCACCACCGTTTTCTTCATCGCTGTCACCTCCATCCTGTCCATCTCCATAGCATTCATTAACATTGTTAAACGGAGCATTACAGTCGATATAAAACCCCAAAAGGCGCCATGCTTGCGCAAAATCATTATAGTAGGTTCCAGCACCATCGGCAAACTGGTTGTCATATTGGGTCCTGTATCCCACAATCGATCGCTGCTTCAAACGGCGTTGATGATGTTGCGCCGTTTCCTCTAGCATGCCCATGTCAAAACCGTCGGCCGGCAGAAACTCGGTTCCATCTTCCAAGGTCACCCATTCTTGACCCGTCGTGGGAAGCTCGTCCATGAACCCTTGTAGCATCTGTTGCTTTTCATGATGATGGTGTCGTCCAGCAGAGGCACTGGCGAGAAGAGCCAGTAGTAGTGCGAGGCAGATCTTGAGTTGCATCTTGTTGTTGTAGCTATTACTTAGTTTTTGAGAGATTGTGAGAAAACGAGAATGGAACGGAGTGGGACATCCTTCATCGGTATATTTCAGTTGTTGCTGCCAATGAGCAAAATTTTATTAGGAGGGGGGAAGCCTGTGACCGTGGTATCCACGAATGAGATTGGCTTCTTTAGAGACGTTCGCGGTAGCAACTTTACGTAACAGCCGTTTCTGGCCGATTTTCTGATGTTTGCCGGAACCGTTCACATCTTTTATCCCATGGAGAGAGGTGCGCCGAAGGACCGCGACACACAAATTTTCGAAACTAACTGTTTCCAATCGGGATTTAGGTGGAAACAACTGTCCTGTTTCCTTGGCTCAACTCACAAATTGCTCCACTTTTAAAGCAAGTACGAAGATAGAACACAAGAAAGACGGGGTCTTTTCCTTTTCTCGCAATCAAGTCTATCTGATCTACCTTTCCCCTCTCCCTTCCATCACCATGATATTGCCAACGCTACTACTTTTGCTTCTCCATCTGGCCACTGCCGCCAAGGACAACGACTACTACTTCCCCGGCTTTGTGAACCCCAACACGGACAACAAAATGTACTGGAAGGACTCCATCAATGTCCTGCAGGATCTGGATCAGTTTGAATCCCTCTACGTTCGATACCATCATTGCGTTTGGTCCAAATACGGCACCCGCTATGGTACCGGTCAAAACTATGATGAACAAGACGGCGATGAAGACGATGCCGATGCAGATAATGGCTGTGGAGGCTGGGGTGGCGAGAACTACTGGTACATGGGCCGCACTCAGTGCTTCAAGGCCAACGTGGCGTATTCCTTGTACGGAGTTCTCAAGGGAGAACAAGCCAAGAGCAAGCGTGGATCTTTCTGTCATGGAGACTCCTACATCAATTCCTTCTTTAGTACATTCGGCGTCGAGAGTTTTGCAGGACCCATGGGGGTTGGTGTGGATACGGCCAATTCCTACTGTGCCAGTACCAACAGCAATGGGAATTATAATGCCAACAGCGGTGATGGTGATGATGCTGGTTATGACGATGCCAAAGCAGATGATGACTATGTGGGCGATGACTACACGTTCTATCACTTTGATGAGTACACGAGCTCTGGAACAGGATGCGCAGCCAACGGGAACTTTGTCAAGGACTCTTACAACGGTGCCTTTTGTCAGGGCTCCAAGTACAATACCACCTTGGACCAGCTCAAGGAGTTTAATGAGGCTTTGCAAGCGGTGGAATGTACTCAGATTTACAGTTTCAGTGGCGGTGGACAAAACGATGATGATGACAAACGCCGCGACCGACGACGTACCAACGAAGATGAGAACTACGACTTTGCATACATGAATCCCATTCAAGTACTGTCCTACAGCAAGTCCTGCAGTCTCTCTCAGTATCCCAATGACTGCCCTGATCCCCACGGAAAGAAGGCAACATACGGCAAGAACATTCAACGAGCACTGGCCTACAAGACGGGAAATATGCGTGACTGGGGCGCTCAGACTCTCAAGGTATTCTCTTGGATCTTCCTTGCTGGAGCCTTGACACTGGGCGCCATGGCCAACTTTATTCATCCTGGAGAACGAAGATCAAAGATTCGTGCCAAGCTGGGCAAGAAGATGCGCAAGATTGGAAGGCTTGGTAAGAAGAAACGTTCCAAAAACAAGGCGCTTACGTCCTCTGGAAGTGGTGACACCACGGACACCAGTTTGAGTGGTGCAACGAATGATCGTTCCCCAAAACGATCCTCCCCAAGACGATTGGGAAGGTTTCTAAGCATGTTCAAGAAAGAGGATTCCACACCAGAAACCGCGGAGAATGATAGCACGGAAGTGTCGTTGGGTAACTATGAGTTGTCCACTGGTTACTTTCTCCGTGGCAAACCAAGTGACGATGAAGAGATAGAAGGTGGCAATGGTACAGCTCCTCCGTCGCCGCCAAGGACGCTTGGCAGCTTTTCGTACTGGGGAGATACAGGTATGGAAGCACCGAAATCACTAGACGACGCAAGTTTTACTGCAAGCGATAGGGCAAGCGATAGGGCAAGTGCTACTGCAAGCGATAGGGCAAGTGACAGGGCAAGTGACAAGAGTTCCCCCTCCAACGGCCCAGAAACCTTGACCGTCCTAGCAGTTGAGGAACCTGCCAGTAAAAAGAAGCGCGGTAGCTTCTTGGGAAAATTGGGCAAGTCTTTCAAGAATAAAGAGTCCACCACGAACGCCCCCAAGGACGTGAAGGGTTCGATTGTGCGAAGCCTTAGTTTCCGCAAACGCGAGTCAACCCCCAAGAGTCCTGGAACTAGCAGGAAAGGGATCCTGCGAAGCTTCAGCTTGGGAGGAAAGAAGAAGCAGACTGCTAACCAAGAACCTGATGAAGAGCCCGTGGAACTGACTCCCGCAAATAGTGCCATTCTCCCTCCGCCAACCATCCAGAAAACGTTCACTGACGCCGTTCAGATCATCTTGCCTAACGGCCAACAACAACAGGAAGAGCAACCACCTTCTGATGCCAAGCCAGCTGAAGAGGACTCCAAACTTCAAGACAGCCTTTACAGTCTCTGATGAAGGTGTGTGGTGAATCATCAAATCCCAAATCGACAGCATCGGACTTAGCTTCCCCAGGGTCACTTGCTTTATACATAACTGTACGTTATAGGAGGTTCCTTTTATGTTTTTCGTAGTGGTCTAGGATCGATTTAGTTTTTATGTGGTCTTGTGCCTTTACAAAAGACCTCTTGCAGATGCTTGCGGTTCCGCTTATGCGTGTTTGTTGTAGAATGGCTTCAGATGCTCCATGAAAAGATCCAGTCCACCTTCCTCAAGGAGAGCAAAGTGGGAAAAGCCTTTTCCTTCAGGATCATTCAGCAGGATTGGGTGCTCTGCCTTCGAAATCTTGGATGCCTCCACTTCCATGGAATGCAAGGTTGAGCCGGTCGCTAGGTGTTCGTGTTCACCAGCAAGTTGTTGAAAAGGGCATCTGATGCGGTCCAACTGGTTGAACGTCTTGACTCCTTGCAACTTTAGCCAGACTTTGGGTGTCTTGACTTTCGTTCCCATTCGCAAGGTATAAAAGAACTGATGCACCACCTTGGTCAGTGGTTCTTTTCCGCGTCCAAAAATCCTAGCCAACTCTACTTCATTCTCAAGTCCTATCAGCCGCATTATAGTTTCTTGACTGAAGAAGATCTTGAGAAAGTTAGTTTCACCAAGACACTCGGTAGAACCTGGGGCAATGGGCCCCCAGCAAGACGTGGACCCATAGACGAACAATGACTTGACAATTTCTGGTTTGTAGATTGCAAGTTGGTAGCCTACAAAACCACCAAGGCTCCAACCAAAGATATGGACCGGTTGGTTGGATGGAAAAACTTTTTGAATGATGGCCGCAGCATCCAACATAAACAACTCAGATGTCAAATCACCAGGGGTGTCTTCGCTGCGTCCATGCGCTCTCCAGTCAAAGACCAAAGTACAAAATCCCAGTTCATGATGCATTCTATCAATGAAATCATGAAAGATCCATGTTTGCGAACTGGTTCCGGGCAAGATGACAAAGCTCTTCTTGCAGTTTGTCTCTCCGGTCTCTTCATCTGTGTGAATCAACGCTTCATAGTAGACATCAGCCTGAGGGGCGACTAAGAGAGAATTCTTGTCTTGTGGGCGACCTTCATTGATCACATATCGTTCAATGTCTTCTTGGGAATGCCGAATTGTCACAATATGACCGTGCTCGGGAATGGGTTCACGAGGCCAAGCAATGTTCAAGGCAGCATCTCGACGTTCAAGTTTTGCGGGAAGAATCCACAAGACGGCCACTAAAATGGGCACAAGAACTATCCACTCCAAATGGAAGCCTACCATGAGTGCTATTTGCCTGTTACTCTGCTGTTCTTTCTCCTGCTACCGGTAAGCAGAACTATGAGGTCAATGAGCACCAATTTTTTCAGGCGACGCCAATTGGACTTTGGCCACAACAACACAACAAAGCAAGAAGCGCAAGAAGCAAGAGGTGCAGATATGCAGATTGCTTCAGCGTTGGCTCTTGCGGGTGTGACGTTGGTACTACCGTATGTTAGAATGGACTACCGTGTGTGTGATTTATCGGAGCTTTATTGGTACCGGTACATGTAAAAGGTGAAATACGAATTCAAGAACGAATTGCTTTCTGACAAACACCGTTCCCACAGTGCAGGTATTGGTGGAGAAGGCAACCAAAGATGCTCAGTGGTGGAGTGATCTTCTGTGGTCGTCGGGTGGCAAGCTGGAGGCTTCGAAGTGTTCCTTTCATCATCTCCGATATGAGTTCCGACCCAGTGGCGAACCAAAGCTGGTCTCGGGGACTGACTTTACACCATCCATCAAGGTGAAATCCACTGATGGGATCGTCACGCCGATCAAACCAGTAGACAACTACAAAGATCACAAGTCACTTGGATGTTTCAAAGGCCCGGCTGGAAATCTCGCAGCACAGAAAGCAGCCTTGATCAAGAAATGCACCCATTATACCAGAGTCCTGAAGGGATCCCCACTGAATAGACGGGAAGCCAACATGTTCTATCGAAGCATCTTCCTCTCGAGTGTGGGTTACTGCTTGGAGACCACCTTCTTCAAGGATGTCGATCTTGATACCATTGAATCGGCTCCACGCCGAGCTGCACTTCAGAAGATGGGGTATCGATCGAATACTGCGAAAGTGATCTGCTATGGTTCCTGGAAGTTGGGGGGTATAGAAATGTTTCGACTCGCTGACAAGCAAGGAGTCGGGGTGATCCAGCAGTTCTTAAAGCACTGGAGGACAAGGTGCACTGACATTGGAGACCTAAGTGAAGTCACATACGCCTGGTTGCAATTCCATGCCGGAATTGGCCGACCAATCCTTGAGGATCTCGAAATCGATTGTCATCTCCCAGTCGGGCTGTTCCAGTGCATGCGAAGGTTCCTTAAATCCATTGGAGGCACGATTGAAGTGCATAACGCCCACATTCCGCCGTTGCAGCGCGAGCAAGACTCCTACATTATGGACTGGGTGGGGTGGTATGGGAATTTCTCCGAGGCAGACCTGAAACGGATCAACTATGTGCGGCTGTACTTCCAAGTTGTCACGGTGGCTGACATCACAACGGCATGTGGCACATACATCCGGGAGGAGTTCTGGCATGGCTTTTCCAGTCCACTGATGCCTCGCACCACCTACTTCAAGAGATTTCAAGATCGACCCAGGGATCCCAAGACTTGGTGGTTGTGGAGGAAAGCCTTATCCCTGTTCGCTCCGAATCTGACGTTGGATGTACCCCTGGGGAGGTGGCTCGTCTCTGCTGACAAGCTCCGGATGCGACACAGGTTCTTCTACGAAGTCGATGCCAACGTCGTCTATCAACAAGTTGACAATGAAGAGTCCGAATTCTGGATGTTCCAACATCCAGTCCCGAACAAGGAACGGACAGTTCATCGCTGGGAGTTCGGAGATGAGACCTACCTGGACGCCAGCATCCTACACAACTCGGTGCCACTGGATCCCCACTTCCCCCGATCTTGCACCTCTGTCCAGTCAGACTCTGGAAAGCGGCGAGTCCTAGACCTGACCCTCTTCAACAAGCGTGAGACAGTGGTAGTTGGTAGTGGTTTCACAGCAGGCATTCCTGCTCGTCCACTACCACCCACACCGACAACATTTGAGGATTTCCTTGCCACTTTGGAGCCTTGGGAAACAGCTCTTTATGACGAGCTTGAATGGATGGTGGACGCCTACTCAGTCCTGCAGATTGTCACAGCCATGCCCTTCTGGGTGGGCAACGATGGGGCTGCAGACATTGAAGCCGGTAAGGCGAGTTTTGCATGGGTCCTGGCAGACAACCGCGGCCAAATTGTGCTTCGGTGCTCTGGTCCAGTTTTTGGTTTGGTTCCGACTTCATACAGGGCGGAGGCCTATGGCATTCTATCCCCTACTTGCCTTCTTCGACGATTGCTGGAGTTCTACGATCAGACCACCATGAAGAATTATGTACACTTATGCGACAATGAATCTGTGACGAATAAGTGCGCTAGCTGTCTCGAGTACGAGGGCTGGTACCCCAATGATTCGTTGAACTCCGACTGGGATGTCTTGCAGCAGATCGAGGATTCGTTCCGGGCTGCAGTCACTGTGCCCAAGATGGAGCACATCAAATCGCACCAGGACAAGCACAGGGCCATCAAAACACTACCCCTAAAAGCACAACTGAACTGCAGAGCTGACAAACTGGCAGGCAGTTACATGACCAGACACATGAAACAGGACCACTCCAAGGTGCTCCGAGGTACTCCGATTTCCGGCAAACCTGGCCTTGATTGTTGGGTGGATGCTGACTTCGCGGGGTTGTATGGATATGAGGATGATCAGGATCCTGTATCCGTCAAGTCTCGCACTGGTTTTGTTTTGACTTTGTTTGGGTGCCCTATCATTTGGTCCAGCAAGCTACAGACTGACATTACTTTGAGCTCCACTGCTGCTGAGTATGTTGCCTTCAGCATGTCAATGAGGGAGCTGCTTCCTATGCGAGCCTTGCTCAAAGAAATTGGTAACAAACTGAATATGCCCGTAATTACTGACAGTCTCGTGCGCTCTACAGTGTTCGAAGACAACCAAGGTTGCCTGTCTCTTGTGAATGTTCCCAAGATGTCAGCACGCAACAAGTATTTGGCATTAAAGTACCACTTCTTTAGGTCAAATATCGGGGAGTCAAAGGGCATCGTGGCCAAGTACATTCCGACTCTGGAACAACGGGCCGACATTTTCACTAAGGGTCTTCCGGCTCCACAGTTTGCGGTCATTCGAAAGCTCCTCATGGGGTGGTAATTTACCTCAGCACTTTGCTGGGGACTCTCTCCTATCATTTCTTGCTACAGCTTCATTTCAGCTGTAAGGGAGTGCGACGGGATACAGCTTACAATTGATTCAGCTTTACAGCTTTACTATTTGCAGGCTTATTCTAGAAAATAATCAATAACTGCTCACTTATTTGGAAATACAAACTTTACATATCTTAGATCGTTAGACTAGTCAATACACAATGGTATTGTCACACAAGGATCTCATCACCCGGCCCGCGTTTTGAGGTCGTCCCACATTGTTTCACTGTATTCTGGCCTGGCTACCATTTTGATTTTTTCGATGGTCCAGGGGCTGAAAGTTGGGTTGGGATTGATGTTGGCTCCCTCCAGACAGACTCTATCGATGATGGGGTGGGCTTCCCGTACTCTCCAGTAGTGTTCTGGGTGGGAGAGGTCTCCGAGTCCGAGCCTCACTCCCCTTTCAACGACTTCCATGCCAGGGTGTTGGTTCCCACGAAACATGTTCTGGCGCCGACCAGGGTTGGAAAAAATCGATTGGGTCCCTTCATCTTGGTTTCCACCGCTAGTTTGCGAATTGTTGGAGTCGTTGGAATTGTTGTTGCCATTTTCTGCGGGAGACGAGGTGTTGGTATTATTCTGGCAGGCCTGTTGGTTTGTGGATTGTCCCTGGGTACCAGAGTATTGGTTGCCATACTTTTTCTTGTCCTGGTCCTTATGTTCAAGGACCCACTTCTTGTTTTCAGGTGTCATCTGCTTCCAGGCCTTGCTAGAAAATCCACTTCCCGGTGGAGGGCCACCAGTTCCTTGTCCATTATTTTGCTGGTTGTTGTTGTTGCCGGTCCCAGCCTGGGAGTTCAACTTGGCAAGCCGGCGCCGTTCCTTCTTTTCCTTCTTCTTTTGGGCACGGGTCTTTTTGTTGCTTCTCCTATTGCCAGAGTTGTATCCATTGTAGCAGTTCTCCTTCCTTGCTTTGTTGGTGAACCTCAGCTTCAGGTCCTCCAGGGAGTAGTCTGTGTAGTGGTCAAGGATGTTTTGGAGTATGTCATCCTCAATACCACTCACAAAGAGGTTTCTCTGCAGGAATTCAGGTAGGGCCACCCCACAACCTTCAATCTCAATAACCAATGTCTCAAACTTGGACTCATACCAGGAGTAGCTTCCCCTGGTTTGCTTGTTTAGCTTGAGGTGTTGGAGGGTCTCCATCCTGTTGGAGGCATTCAATTCATTGTCACCTCCATGCTCATAGACCTCCACCAATTTTCTTCAGGCTTGGCAGCCATCCAGGGTATTCAAGTAGGCATGGACCTTGGAGAAGGCAGTCCCACCCTCTGTCTTCAGGACTAGGATGGAGAAGAACTCCTGAACTTCAGCATCCTAGGCAGGATCCTTCTTCCTTCTCTTCAGGTGCTGCTTGATATCCTTGTCATCCTTGATGGTAAGGAGATGCCCCTTTCGCATCAGGGAGCAGATACTTAGGGCAGAAAGGTGGAAGGACTTCCAGTGGTTTTGTTTCCCATCAAAAGCCTTGAAGTCAGACATGCTGGCCTTTCTCCATTGGTTTGGTGGTGAGTGCAGAGCTGGAGAAGGAGGCTAGATGTGAGTCTAGGGTCCCATCCTCAGTGATGGAGGGGGGATCAGCCTTCTTGGTCTTGGGCTTGGGCTTGGGGGCTTCATCTTCTTCAGGTTCAGAATCTTCAGGGTCATCATCACTGCTTGAGTCTTCTGGGTCACTGTCACCACCATCTCCAGCACCCCCCTTTTTGTCAAGCTTGAACTTGACCACCTTGGGCTTAGACCCCTTAGAGTCCTCAGTTCCAAGGTTGGATTCAGTCTCAGCTCCACCAGATTCAGTCTTCTTGGTGGATCCTTTGGATGGGGGTGTGTTGTAGCCATCCTTCAGAGTTTCCTCTAGCTCTTTCTCAGCTCTGGCCTTGCTATCCTGCAACTTCAAGAGCTCATACTCAGCTAGGGCTGCTTTCTTGGCTTCGCGGACCAAGTCAACCTCCTCAATCCACTTGTCCTCGTAGTGT